AATCACAAAAATACTGAGGCCTGAGCCCTAACCCAAATCAATTAAATCAGAATCTCTAGGGATGAGATCCAGATAGTGTTATATTTTTAAAAGTTACCATAGTGGTGTTAATATGAGTCAAAGTGGAGAATCAACGACTTAGAGTAACAAAGAGGGTCTAAAACTGCTTAAGGGCTTTCTGTCTCCGTTGGAATTGGTTCAGAAGGTAAAGGTTGGAGCCTAGGGGGAAAAGGTCAGGTGGACTCAGTTATGTGGAATGGGGAGGAAAGGTGATTTTAGCAACAATTTCCTAACAAAAAGGAGATAGCAGTTAAAGTCAAAACATTTCCATTTACAGAGATTACATGGAATGGATATTGTTATGAATACTATTTTATTATTTTCTTTCCAGGCCTCATTCTATTTCATATTCTCAAATCGACCAATTCACTTCAAGTGTGAGAAGAAATCACAAAATTGATATTTAACATAAAGAAGTATTTCTGATTGGTAATATACAAAGTTAGTAACAAAAGGCTACGGAAACATAGAAACTAGGGGCGCCTGAGTGGCTCAGATGGTTAAGTGTCTGCCTGCTCAGGTTATGGTTTCAGGGTCCTGGGATTCAGCCCCACATCAGACTCCCTGCTCCCTCCCTTTCCTTCTACTGTTCTGTTTGTGCTCTTTTGCTCTCTCTGTCAAACAAACAAACAAACAAACAAAAACCAGAAACTAAACAATACTTGTAACCTTTTCTCCTCACGTATAACCATTAAAAGATAGGTTTGACCATGAAAAGAGGCAGATCAATGCTTCCCAAATGGGAAGAAAGTTTAGCCCAGCAACCTAAAAACTGCCAGGTTGATTCTGACCCACTGTTTATCCAATGATCTAACCCACATTTATCAAGGAAGATAGTTTCCTACCAGATGTAAATGAATCTTAAAGAAGGGGTCCCTTAATTTCCTTTAGTCATTTATAACTGTTACTCAAATTTCTTCTGTTTTTGGACTGCTAAGTTTCAATGAGATCACAAACTTGAAAATATCTGCTGGTAATGACAGGTATTGATTGGACAGTAACATATTAATCACCTGCTTTTGATACTGTGGAAAGGTTACTAAAGAATACTCAGTTTAGGTACACTAAGTTGCATTGTGCCAAACCTTTCTATTTTTTCCCTCTTTACCTGAAATTAAAGTCAAGAGTCTTAATGATTTTGAGTGGTCTTTAAAATATTCACATGTATGTTCATATTTAATTTAAAAATGATCCCTTTCCCATCAGTGTACCCTCATGAGGAAATCCAAATCGTAAATATTTTTAGGGAATAAGACCAATAACTGATTCTATGTAAACAATTTGAGATTACGTCAATCAATTCACCATTTCATGATTTCAAAGATTGTTTCATCAATCTTCTATCACTCAAGTCATAGAACATTAAATAAACCCTTTAACAAGAATTTGGGTTTTATTCTATAAGACAGACAAGGTCATTTTTTAAAGCAAATAAGCTAGTGGGAGTGCTATGAGAAACATGCCAACAGAGAAAAATAGTCATAGAACCTTTCGGCTCCATTCCATAAATCTTGACCTCTCTTTTCCCTTCTGCTACTAGAGGAAAGTTTGCTTCTCATATCATTCCCTAAGGGAGTTCTAGCACCACATGAGGCTAACAAATATAATTTTGTTTTTCACTATTTTAAGTTCAAGTTATTAAAATGCCATGGACTCAGGGAAGTGTGGCTCATGTCATATGACCAAGCTCATGTCATATGACCCCTCCAAAATAATAATATGACAGTGGGAAACTAATAATTGCTTTTTGGGGGATCAGTCAACTTAAGATCAAGGTGCCTAAATATTATGTTTTAAAGTAGAAGAAACACACATTCTTTTCTACACTGGAAGACAAGCAAAACATGGGTCTTTCAGGAGACTCAGGTGTAAATATTGATTTTATGCTCTCCACTGAATTAGAAGTCTGAATTGAATCTCACACTGACTTCCCTTATTTCACTTGTGTCATATATTTTCATTGGCTTTGATACTTCAAGCATCTAAATTTGTCATCAGCTTTATAAGGTTTCCATCTTTTACTTTGATAAGTTCTTGAACATGAGTGAGGGACACATCTCGTCATGTATTCATCACCTATGGATGAAGTACATATTCAGGTGTGTGTCTAGGAGCTGTGGACACAACAGTGACTTGAAAGGTGTCTGACTGGCTTCTCTACCAGGGAAGAGAGACAGATAAACAGAAAGATAGTAAGAAATATTAAGGAAGTGGTAATTAAAATGATATTTCAAAGATGAGTTAGCCAAGGAAGAAAAGAAAGTACTCAGAAAGAAGAAACGACCCATGGGAAAGCAAGAGAGAGAAAGGGCATATTTTAAGAAAGAAAAGTTCAGTAGAGCAAGCACTGAATATGGTTTTGATGGCAGGAAAGATCTGACTAGTGCAGGTGAGTTTGGTAAACTAAACTGGGATGAGATCATGAAGGGGTTTGAAAGCTTGAATAAAGGGAGGCTGGAAAGCAGAAGGGTTGGTGGCAGGAATAGTGTTTCAGGAAAATGTCCGAGAATAACAAATCAATCACAAAAGGCCAAAATGGAGATCGGGACTGGGAAATTGCAAAAGAAATGAAAGAAGTCATTGGAAAGTATAGTGTATGGAATGGTGGTCCCAAAAAGATATGTCCACGTCCCAACTCCCAGAATCTGGGAGCATTATCTTATTGGGAAGGAGTCTTTATAGATGTAATTAAATTAAGGATTTTGAGATCAAGAGATCACCTTGGATTTTCTGGATGAATTCTAAATCCAGTGATAGGTATCCTTACAGGAGATACATAGGGGAGATTTGAGGGACAGAAGAAGAGGCAGCAATGTGACCATGGAGACACAGGTTTGAGCATGAGCCCAAAGAATGTCAACAGCCACAAGAAACTGGAAGAGGTAAAGAAAGATTCCTAACAGCCTTTAGAGGAAGCATGGCCCTGCTGGCATCTTGATTTTGGATTTCTGCTCCCAGAAATGCGGAAATAAATTTCTGTTGTTTTAAGCAACAATTTATATAATTTGTTATAGCATCCATAAATAACTAATATAACAAGGCAAGAGAAAGACACACGAGGTGGGAAAGAACACAGTGCCTCTGAGACACTGCAAAAGGTCAAGAGAGCAGGATCCAAGGGCATTCATGAGTGAGAGGCCAGAAATGAGGTTGGACAGCCAAGCAAGGGGTTATATTAGTGAAAAGCTGCTGGGTCTGAATGCACATGGAATGCTAAAATATCAGTGAGTGGATCAGACTGGTGGAAGAAGAATCATGGTCTCGAAGAATGGGAAGAGATATTGGGAAGGCAAGAAAAGGAATGAATGCAATCTTTTCTTGGCAGAGGAGAGGTCTATGGTAGTGCAGGGAGAGGGGGGGGAAGGGCTTAGGCAAGTACAGAACCCTGTCTTATCTCAGCTCAGGCGACTATAACAAATACTACAGACTGGGTGACTTAAACCACAGACATTTATTTTTTCATCAGACCATTCTGGATACTGGGAAGTCAAAGATCAAGGTGCTGGTAAATTCAGTTTTTGGTGAAGGCTCTCCTTCTGTCTTGCTCCTGTCTTTCTTCTCACTGTACCCTCACATGGCAGGTAAAGAAAGCTCTAGTGTCTCTTCTTCTTAGCATGACACTAATTTCATCATGGCAGCTTCACCTTCATGACTTCTTCTAAACCTAATCACCTCCCAAAACCCCCACCTCCTAATATCCTTACATTGGGGGTTAGGATGTCATCATATGAATCTTGTGTGTGTTGGGGGCAGGACACAACATTCAGCCCATAATAGTTAAGGAATTGACTCTCTGCAGACTGAATGTGGGCCATGGGGGATAGAGTCAGTTGGGAGCTGTTCTAGGTCCTAAGAAGACCACATGGGGACAACAGAGTTGTAAGAGGGGAGGTTGCTAAGTCTGTGTGTGGAATGGATGATGAAAAGCCAGGAGGTGGTGCAGAGAGGAAGGGACAGCAGTCACCTGAATGAGATGCCAGCAAGTCCACCAAACCAGCAGGGGAGAAGCTCTAACTCCTGGAGACTGCTGTCAGAGACGTCCAACACAGGGTTAGAAGCCAGCTAAGCATCGGGAAGTGACAGAACTTTCCTGTGCCCTTCTCTTCACTCATTCCTCCTGAGCTTTCACACTGGTGGGGAATGTACTGGGAGGAGGGGACCCGCTGGGTAGAAATGAATAGAAAAGTAGATCAGTTGGCCACATTTCTCCCCCTGAACACAGTCAACCTGCCAAATACTTTCCTCAGCTAGAAGATGGGGAGAAGCCTGTCCTGAGTCTGAAATGTTCACATCTTAGATTAGACATTTACAGTTTCCAAAGGAAAGTACTTTGGACTTAGAAGACTTTGGAACTAAGAGTGAACAGGAAAGTCACAGATCTGCCAAATTTCCAGCCTTTGCAGGGGAAAAAGCTTCCTGTAAAATGGTAGTGGGATAGAGTTGAATTCTGCTTATCTATGAAACATCATGCTTGTTCAATGTACTGTTTAGACATTCAAAGAAAAGGGCAGACATTTCCTCTGAGAAATCCTAATAATCAATGTATTTCCTCAGAATGCAATCAACAAGGTGGCAAAGGACTATTCTGCATAGCTGTTTCCCTTGCTCCCTAGTGCTAAATTTAGGCTACACAAATCACGGTGTGGTTATTAAACAACATTTTTCTTTCATTTTGTCACATCTTATAATTCTTAGAGAAATTTCTGTACAGAATGTATTACATACAGGTTCCATTTGTTTTCCCTGGCCAAGAGCTAACAGCCTGTAACCAGGTAAATACAAAAGACCCAGGACTGAGAGATGGAATTTAAAAAGCTTTTCCACTCCATTCACACAGACTCTCTTTCCTTTTGGTTCCACTTACTCTTTTGGTCTCATTTCCTTCATCTGTACAGTGGCAGTAATGGGTCTCAATTTCATTTTGTTCTCTTGATGGACAGACCAAATGAAAATCTGACCAGTAATGCCCACTTATCTACCTCTCTGAAGTACTGGAAGAATTAATGATGGACTGTAAAATGTACTGAAGATGAAGAGAACACTATGAGATTTGATGTGTATTTTTGAAAAGTATCAACAGGTAAGTATATTTTAACAAACGTGGAAAAATGTTACAGCAAAGGATCTTGGCTTGCTTGCCCTCGTACCTCAGTGCATTAAGGTAGAAAGGAATATGCAAAATATCTAGGGAGAAAAATAAAAGCAATAACAAAACCTGACAATCCAAGACCATAAACATATTAATAGTGAAATATTCTTCGCATATTAAAAAATCCAGCTAAATTTTTAAAATAAAGCACTGGTTTTAACACCCAGGATATAATGTATGTCTTGAAATTTTAGAATAGTCTATATAGGAAGGCAAGGGACCAAAGACAGAGATGTTCAGAAATAAAACCAAGGCAAAGAGATCAAAGATACTTTCCTCTTGCATTCAAAATGCAGCATGGGCAGAATTCATTTGCTATGTATAAATTTGATAACTGCTTTTTTGGTTATTGGTCTTGCAAAAAGAGATGAAATGGAGATATGAATATTGCTTGCTCTGGAGGGTAGTCAGGGAGCAGATGAAAATACATAGCAAGTTTGACAGTAGTAAGTTACATTTATAGAGCAATGAGAGAGGAGTATGTTATTTATGAATTTGAGTATTTTAAAGAAATTTAAAGTCACTGTTTCTTTCCTGTACACAAATTATTCCACACTCTAAACCCTCCAGCAAATAGCAAATGATTAAATTATTTTGGCCCTTCAAATTTCTCTTGTTCTTTGTACCTCTAAGGATTAGTGTCTGTTGCCATGCTGTCTTTTCTTTGAGAGGGCTCAGATTCCTGTATACATTAAAGAGATGTCCTAGGTCCATTCATAATGTCTTTAACTCCAAGTTCATTTTCTTTTCCATTTTGTTTGTCTTTATGTTGTAATACACCAGTGAGCTGTAGCTAACATTAAAACTAAGACATTAAATTCTCTAATCTTTAATACCATGTGGAACCAGTCATGCTGTGCTCTTGTGGATTAATATTTTTTATGATAATTTTTCCCTCTTATTTTTTGTTCATATGTGCTAGTTTTTTCCTCAAATGTTTACATTTTTCCTTATGAATATGATCTGAGTGTATTTGATGTAGTTAAAAGTGTCTATTTTATACTTGATTCTGGAGGTAAGTGGATAAGGAAAATAAAAGTAAGAGTAGGTAGATTCTAATTTCAGTAAGGTAATTTTATCACCATTAAAAACACTTGGAAATACTATAATAATAATGGAGAAAACATTCAGGGACCTCATTTATTTAGGATTTTGGTAAGATAATTTGGTGTCTGCTCCTGTGTGGTGGGACATACATTCAAATATTTAAGTCCTGTCTTCCAAAAATGCTTATTTTAATCTTTAAAAAGAAAAAAAAAAGCCAAATTGAATAAAAAATGTGTTTTCAGATTTGCATTACATTTTATTGATAAAAATCTGAAGGTTATTAGACAAGTCCCAAATAAATAGCTAAAAATTTCATAGTCTAATTGAAGAAAGTCTTGATTAAAATTTTTCCTTTTAACTTCTCTAAGACACTAGAACATTCTGATATGTCCATCTCAAATACATCTACATTTCTTTCTGAATTCTTCCTTTCTTCAGACTAACCATCTCATCTCATTTCTGTTCACTTTTGTGTCCTCCGCAGTAAGGCCGGGAATCCCGTTGCCTGGAGACCACTCTTGAAGAACATCCACTGCCATGGCCTCTTGGAGATTTAAGACATCTAATAAGGAGCTGACAGAAATCATCAGCTTGCCCCTGAGAAAGTCACATCTTTTAAAAGTCACAATAAAGCACTTGTCTGGATATTACTTATTTTGAGTAATCCTTATAATTAAAGTACAAGATACAAAGGAGAAAAAAAAAAGTACCTCTGGAAAAATCTAAATTTTACAAAGCCATGCAAAAAGAAGGTGGGGCAAAAAACAAAACAAAACAAAACAAAAAACCCTAAATGTGCACTTTTTTAAAAATGGAGGAACTTTTCAGTTCCCCCCGCATTGCTTATTTATTCTAATTTTTAAACTACTCTAAAAGGCTCTATTTTTAGCTATATTTTTAGTTCTGTTGTCTATTAACATTCTCTTGAGCCCAAAGGAATTTTGAAGCAGCAAATTCAATAAAATGACATAAGGTCAACTCTGAAAAAAAAAAATCAATGGTGAATGAGACAAAACACGGCTATGAGAACTCCACATTACAAAATCAGCAAAATGAAATGGCAGCCTACAGAATGGGAGAAAATATTTGCGAATCATATATTTGATAAGAGATTAATATCCAAAAATACATAAAGAATTCATACAGTTTAACAGCAAAAAAAAAGCTAACAATCCAATTAAAAATGGGCAAAGGACCTGAATACACATTTTTCCAAAGAGGATATTCAGATGGCCAACAGGCACAGGAAAAGGTGCTCAACACCACTGATCATCAGGGAAATGCAAATCAAACCACAGTGCAATATCACTTTATGCCTGTTAGAATGGTCATCACCAACATGACAACAGAGAAATGCTGGCATGGATGTGGAGTAAAAGGAACCTGCATGCACTGCTGGTGGGAATGTAAATCAGTGCAGTCACTATGGAAAACAGTATGGAAGATCCTCAAAAAACTAAAAGTAGAACTATCACATGATCCAGCAATTCCACTTCTGAGTATATACATGAAGGAAATGAAATAATATAATTAATGCTATATGATATTTTTGAAAGTTAATAATAGAATAGGTCATAAAAGTTCTCATTACAAGGAAAAAAATCTTTTGGTAACTATATGAGGTGATAGATGTTAAAGAATGATGGTATTATAATAATTCTGGAATATAATAAAATAATACAGATAAATAGTAAAAAAAACATAAAAAAACAAAAGAACCCCTTACCAACTTGGGGCATTCTTTTTTTTTTATTTTTAAGATTTTTATTTTTCATTCTTTTAAGAGAGACAGACAGTGGGGGAGAAGCACAGGGGAGGGGGAGAAGCATAAGGGAGGGAGAGAATCTCAAGCGGACTCCCTGCTGATCATGGAGCACAAAGGGGCTCGATTTCAAGACTTCCAAGATCATGACCTGAGCTGAAATCGAGAGTCAGAAGCCCAACCAGCTGAGCCATCCAGGTGCCCCTTGGGGCATTGTTAATAAGATCCTAGAGTGCAGCACATCTTAATGGTGTCTGAGAATTAAGAACAGATTACTATATGATAAAAGGTGTGCCCTGTTTAAAAATGATGTATTTGAGTCTTATTTTGCATTTTTGAAAGACAAAATATTTTTAAGATGTTTATGCTCAAAGGAAAAAAAAAACACTTCTGTAGACTGAATTAAAACACAGCTCAGGGACAAAATTAAAAAGAAAAAAATGATCCTTGTTTGCCAAACATTTATGGTTTTTTTTAAAGATTATTTATTTATTTGAGATAGAGATAGAGAGAAAGAGCATGAGCGGGGGAGGGGAGTGGGCAGAGGGAGAGGGAGAAGAAGACTTCCTGCTGAGCACAGAGCCTGACACAGGGCTGTATCCCAGGACCCTGAGATCATGACCTGAGCCAAAGGCAGATGCTTAACCAACATTTATAGTTTTGATGTTATTAATTACCCTTTGTTTTTCATTTGGTGCCTCATGGTCACCAAGGTATGGTAAATTATTTAGAATTAATATTTCCTCCAAAAATCTTTATCCCCAATCAGTAAAAAGCAATACAAGCATGAGTTGTAATTAAGAAGTGCCTCTCCATGAGCATTTGGAAGCTGCTGGGAGGTGGTACGTTCTAGAGAGCTTTAGGTTATGCCATGATAACAGAACTAAATCTCTACTACATTTCACGTTGTGACCATGCATTGGCTTTTCAACTTCACTAAACTTAATTTTTTTTGCAGGAAAAATGCATGTATTTATTGTACTTAACTCCTAAGGTTGTTATGAGGATGAAATAAGTAGGTCCATAACCAGAGTCCCTGGAACATTATAAGTGCTTAATAAGCGCTTAATAAGCAGGAGCTGTTATCGTCATCATTCCAATGAAGTTTTTCTGTTAAAGCCAAGAAGATCATAAAGTTCTGAGACTGCGTCTGAGGGCAATCACAGAGTCACATAGCTAACTGTGAACTGCTGTTTCAGAAAATAAAGGAAGTTACTGTCTACTTAGCACCATACAAAGTATATTCTGAAGAAGCTAAGTTAAGATGAATAAAAAAACACACAAAAATGTTTTTAATGCTTTTTGTAGATGGGAGAGAAGAAATGGAGGTAATACTGCATTAGGAACTAGTTATTCCTGAAAAATATACAAAATCAAGGTCCTGCACAGTTCTAGCCCATCTCTGTTTTGTTTGGTTTTCGTGGAGGTACAAGTCACATCAGTACATAACTATTAAAAATGCTGATTGGTGAATTTTATGATTTTGTGCATATGTCAAGTAAAGTACCACCCACGAACATACAGAATTTATCCTCCTTCTCAGTAAGCCCCTTTGTGCCTGTTCACAGTCAATACACCACCCAATCCCCACTGGCAATCACTCTTCTGCGACTGACGAGGCTTCAGATTCCCTTCCTAATCTAGAAAAAGGGCTCATGAGAAATTCAGAGCCCTCATTCTCTACCCTGACTCCGAGGTGACTCCGAATCCATTGTCTTTCCTTCATTCCAAATCCATGTCACCTTGCCTCTACCTGAGAATCACCATATCATCAACATGCCCCTAATATAATCAATCTGCCCAAGTTACCTGTTCTCCAGACACGAACAGCTTATGAACTGTGACATTCTTCTGACATTCAGGGGGCTTTCCCTCCACTGCTGTGTTAATGATGTTTCACTGCATTTTTGGATTCACTAACTCCATAAATATTATTCTCAGCTATGATTGCAAATGATTGTGTTTCCCAAAGCATCCCAGGGCAATGTTAAGTAGGGAGACAAAGAAAACCAGTTTTAAAAAGACCTGAAAGTGAACTGCAGGAGCAGCTACATTTTCAAACTCAACCTTCCCGAAGATTTTCTGGTCTGAATTTCCGAGTTAAATCACGAT